AAGAATAAGAACATTAAAAAGTAAAGGGCACTTTATTGGTATCTGTCAATAATTTAACCCTGAGTGGTATAGCAGTCATCCTAGGAAAACTACTGCATATTTTCCCCTATATAAGTTACAGTGACTTTAAGTAGTATGGTGGATAATGGGCTGCTCCATTTACTAAGGTTACCTATCTATCTATTACCATCTATCATTATCATCCATCTATCATCATCATCTATTAAAAGGAATGGATGGTTCAAAGGACTATGACCCAAATTTTTCATAACAAGAAGGCTATTTTCAAGTCTTGCTTTTAATGTTCATCAGTTAGCATCATTCTATATCTGGGGAAAATTTTTCTCTTCCTTCAATCTAAAATGCCTTTTTCTCAGCATCCTTGTACATTAATTTTCTAAGTATACAGTAAACTCAAATTGGCTAACTGTCTATGTTGCTATGTTGGGTATTCATGCAGAGACTTTCTGGCAAATCAGACGACCAAGCTGTAAGATTAGTAATTCATGAATTCTTCATGTGTATATCTATCTTATCATAACTGTCATAAGTAACTATGTTGGTAGTTAAAAAAAGTGTATTGCCTAAATTAGATCAATAAAAGATGGTTAATACATAGATTTTCAAGTTAAAATAATTTGAGAAGGAGTCAGACTTCTTGTAAGGATTCTAGAGTTTTGACTTCATTTTGTCTCTATGGGATATCCAGTATTTGACCAAGTTTTGACCTCTGTACAAAGCAAGATGATAAAATAGATAGGATTTAGGATTGTCATCAGAAGATATGGCTATGGCCCTTCTGTCAATTATTAATCATGTTATTTTGGTGTAAGAATTCTTCATCTGGCAATAAAAGTTTTTATCAGTAGATGCCTAAAATGTTCCAGAAACTTTCTGAAGTGTTTATTGGCCTTATGTCGTTTAATCCTCATTTTAAGGATAGTGTCATCCTTCCCATTCTATAGAAGAAAATATTGAGGTTAAAAGACTTGTGCAATATTCTTGAGGTCAGACATCTGGTGGGTAACACTCAGAAGACGAACTCCAGTTTACCTGTCGCCATGGCCCATGGAATTAACCACTGTGAAATACTGCCTCCCTCAAATTTAAGGAATAAGGAAAATATATGTCATATATTTTCTTTTAGAATTTGCAATAACTGTTATAAATGTTATTGTTAAGAGGGTAGGTCAGCAAACTGATTTTTTTTTTTTTTTACTTTTCAAATAAAGGGAACTTAGAGGATGAATCAAGTTGGTAACAACTCCAAAACTTAATAGCTTAGATATAGTCTTTTTTTAGCTCATCATTTTGTGGGTCAGTGCATTTGGGCTAGGTTCAGCTGGAAGTTCTTCTGGACACATGAGTAAGAGCAGGGCAGTTCTGCTCCTGGAAATTAGCTGTGAATCATCTAGGGACAGAGATAAGAAGTTTTAGCTGTCAGGGGCCCTCTATTTCTTTTAGGTAATTATTTCTTTTAAATTCTTGCTCTATTATATCCTCTGACTTGTTTCCTAATACTGGTTCTCTTTGTATCAAAAGTATGTGTGCATGTGTGTGTGTGTGTGTGTGTGTGTGAGAGAGAGAGAGAGAGAGAGAGAAAGAGAGAGAGAGAGACTGGCATATATGTTTCTCATCATCAAGCAGGCCAGCTAAAGCTTATTCTCATGGTACCAGGGTAAGTTTCCAAATAAGAGAGTGGACAGAAGTATGCAAGACCTTTTGAAGCCAAGGCTTTATTCTGGTACACCATCACTTCCACCTCATTCTCTTGGCCAAGGCAAGTTACGAAGCCAGTACAGAAACAGGGACTGGAGAAACAGACCTGATGCGAGAAGATGCCAAATCATAATTTAAAGGGGGCATATCTACAGGGCAGGATGGGAAATTGTAGCCATTTATTTTTTATTTTTTATTTTTTTTAATTTTAAAAGATTTTATTTATTTATTTGACAGACAGAGATCACAAGTAGGCAGAGAGGCAGGTAGAGAGAGAGGAAGGGAAGTAGGCTCCCTGCCGAGCAGAAAGCCTGATGTGGGAACCCGAGCTGAAGGCAGAGGCTTTAACCCACTGAGCCACCCAGGTGCCCCTGTAGCCATTTTTTAATCTGCAGAGGAATTTTATGCAAAGTCCATGAATATATTGTTCTTTGAAAGTGAATAATATTTAAGAAATCCTTATACTGAACTTTAAAAGAGTTAATTTGTTCAACTGTTAAACTTTCACAAGTATGTCCTTCTGACAGTTCCAATGTGGTTTAATGAGAGCAATCCACATTTTTGGTGGTGATGTAGGGCTCCGTGTCTGTAGTCCTTCTGTGATGCTGACTGGAGGACATAAAGGAAGCAGCATTTCAGTTGCTTCTCTGCCAGGGGTAATATCTATATTATATTAGATATATATAGTATATCTTTTAAATCCTTGCTCCACACAGACCAACAAAGGAAACTACAACTGTTTTTTCCACCTCCGTTTTCCATTGCCATCTTTCAAAGATTTGCTTTCTTTTCACTTTTGCCTGTTTTTCATAGGAGCATCTGGGAGTTAGTTAGCTGGAGGGGTTTTCTGTTCTCTCCTGCCTTATATAATGAAGCGTGAATATTTGTCTTAGGATCTTCCCCTTCTATATTGACCAGAAAAAGAGAAAAAGAGAGAGAGAGAGTATTTTATTTGCTGCTTTGTTTATAAATTCTCTTTTGGTATGCGCATCTCTTTCTCTTATCTTTACACATTCTTATTTTCAAACTTATTTGAAATGTTTTCTAGTTTCACATCTAATCCTTTATGAATCACAAGAAAAGTCTGAATTCTTCTAAAAGGTGATCCTCTTGTCGATGTGATTATTTCTAAGTAGCTTATATAACCTTAGACTCAAATTGATTCATTAGGCCCTTGTTTTCTCATTTCTCCTCCGTGAGTCCTTTGCAGCAATCCCCCCACCCCCTTCCTTTGTTTTCTCTGTAGATCCCTCATAATACAAACTTAATATTATCAAGCTAAAGGCTTCCATTATTGATTTCTGCCATCTGTATGAGTTATCTTTCTGGAAATCTTGTAATTTAATGTGACTATTTCCTCCATTTAAATTAAAAAGCGGTAATTTATGTAAAACATTTTGCACATAGTAAGATCTCAGTAAATGTTATCTATTATTATAAATGCTTCTACTACTACACTTACTGTTGCTAATTTATTTTAAAGCAAACCATATGCCTTTTTCTCCCTATTGAATTTACATTAAGCTATATAAGGAACCATTTAGATAATATAAGAATGCATATTATAATTTGAATATAATTTTTCTTTGGAAATTTTCTGGCAGTTGAAATTTACTATCACTTATTTTAAGAAACGCCTTAGTGATTGATAATAGTGCTAAACTAGAATCATTCCCTCAGCAGTTAAGCCTTATACTTGTGTGTGTGTGTGTGTGTGTTAGTAAAAGCAAATTTCCATTGTCATAAAGCTGGGTCCATACAGCTGTTCCTGAGGTTATTACTACACATGTACCGACATACTGTTAGTAAATTTCTTATGAATGGATATACATTTTTTCTTAGATTAGTTTCCTAGACATCAGTAACCTTCCAGATACTTTTAAGTTCTTTACTTACTTTAATTATCTACTGCCATAAGGGATAGGTGTTCTCTGAGGGAACTATTTATATTTAACTGCCCACCCTGCAGTCCCGTATATTGCAAAAATTTTCTCATATAGAGATTCATAACTCTTGCAATTTTTAAATTGCTGTGTCAGTATCAGTATCTGTTTTTCAAAGAGACTTCCTCCTATATACAACCTGGTGTTTTACCTACTCCACAGATTTTAATCCATTCAAGCTATACCTGTGGAATAGAGTCTCTCCCTCTCTCTCTCTCTCTATCTCTCTCAGTACACACACACACACACACACACACACACACACACAGAGAAACACACGCTCTGATTGGTGCTATGAACTGATATGGGTTGAACTGTGTCCCAGCACCATCCCCTTCCCCCTCCCCACTCCCTCAAAAAAACAGAAAGACGTTGGAGTCCTAGCCTCTAGTGCCTCAGGATGTGAGCTTATTTTGGAGATAGGGTCTTTATAGAGGTGATCAAGTAAAAATGAAGTCATTAAGGTAGGCCTTACTCCGCAAGGACTGTGTTCTTATATAAAAGGGAATACTTGGACAGACACAGATATGTATAAAGGGAAAAAGATGTGAAGAGACACAGGGATAAGAGAGCCATCTGCAAGCCAAGGAGAGAGGCCTGGAATAGGTCCAGTTCTCACAGCCCTTAGAAGGAACCAACCCTGACCACACCTTAGTTTCTACCTTCTACCTCCAGAACTGTGAGATCATAAATTTCTGCTGTTTAAACAGACCAGTGTGTGGTACTTTGTTATGGCAGCCCTGACAAACTCATACAAGGCCCAATACAAATTCGAAAGAGAGAAATCGACTAATTAGATAATTGCTTTGGTACTTGGATTATGTAGATCTCCTCTGTGGCTTCTGATAAAGAAACCCGAGTTTTCACTTGCTAGAGCATGATGTTCCTGGAATAAACTTTTTAAACTTGTTTTGTTTTATATAACCATGATGTGGTGACTGGAGACCTACATTTGACTGGAAAGAGCAAGCCAGAGCCATGTGTAAGCCGCGAGATCCAAGATTCACTTGTCACCTGTAAGTAGACCTCTCTCTCCCATCAGTTGTCATTAAGGAAAAAAGAAAAAAAAAAAAAACCCAAAAAACCCGGAATTGGTCTTAGAGATGCTCTCTCACTTGTTGGGAGAGGTGGGGCAGTGAGAAGAGAAAGGGTGTGGAGGGTGGGGTGTAAATAAGGCAGGCAGAAGCTCCAGAGAGGGTGGGGATAGAGCTTCACGGAAGAAAAATATATGAACCTGGTTGGTACAAGAGAGCTTCCCCAGACCCACCCACCCACCCACCCACCCTTTCCTGAGCTCTGTGCTCTGGCGCTGGTGGTTGGCGGCGAGTGGTGCGGAAGGGACAGCTCTAGCAGCGGCTGCTTTCAGGGGAGAAACAAAACCTGGAGGTCCAGGGCGGAGCCGGGTGACTGCCCCTACAAGTGGGTGAGCTTTCCTGACCTCGGGTCAGCTCCGCGGTGGTCGCGGCCAGCATCTGTGCCGGCTCCCGGCGGGGTCGCGGAGCGCCGGCTGGACCCGCCCCGAGCTCCATGGTTTGCCCAGCCCTGCGCGATGGTGACTCTGGGCGCGGAGGTTGGCGCGTGGCGAGCCCGCAGCTCGCAGAATGAAGGCGGGGAGCGCGGCTGGTGGCCGGCGGGGGCTGGCTCCGCGACCCCAGCGCCGCGAGAAGCAGCCCAACCACCTGAGCCCGGAAAACGCCAACAAGTAGTTTTTCATTGGAGAAGGGCGGCTCGGCTGGGTGTCAGGACTCAGTCCGGCTGCCCGGAGAACCTCGTCCACTCGGAAACCAAAGCAGAAGCACTTTTCTGTCGGTCTCGTTAAGGTATCTGGGGGCGGGAGGGAAAGGGGGTGATTTGCCGGGAAGGGCATGCTGACCCTGCAGGCAGGCATTCGCCCGCCCGCCCCCCACCCCGTTCCGCAATGAGAATGTGGAGGTGAAGCCCTGGGGATAGGTGGCTGGGAGACTGGAAGCGGGGACACTGTCTGCTCCGGGAACCAGGGGGTGTGCCTCCAGCGGCTCTTCCCAGGGCCTCGCCCCTACTAGAGAGCAACCCCCCCAACCCCCCTAACTCTGCATCCCCTAGGCGTTTGTTTTTCTTGGGGAGGGGGATGGGGTGGGATGCGTTGATCATTCGCATTCTAAAAATTCTAGTTTAGAATTCGCATTCTAGTTAGTGGTTTCCTTTCTCAAGTAATAATAGTATTAACAACAACAACAACAACAGTAATAATGTGAAAAGGAAATTGGATCAGGAAATTAGTCACAGGTCTCCTTGGTGAAAGGCAACAGCAGGGAGATTTTTTTTTTTTTTTTTTTTTTGCTTTGACTTCTGCGTTCAGTCTTTTTGCCTGGTCCGGGAGGGAGAGTGGAAGTGAGAACAGGGCACACAGAGGGCACTCCCTGAGTGCCAGGGCGCTGCGAGTCCAGAGTCCCGAGGGTATGCGTGGAATGGGGGTCTCCGCCCCGTCTGGGGGCTCTCCCCCAAAACTGCCAAGTTGCCTCAGAGGAGAACCTCCTTGCTTGAGGGAACTGCCGCCAGGCCAAGGAAGGTGGAGAGAGGGTTTAGGGTAGGGGAGGAGAGGAGCCAGGGCAGGGGCAGCCTAAGGAGCAAGAGAAGAGAAAGGGCTTAGAAGGGAGAGATAAGGGGTTTGGGGAGAGGAGGAGAGTAGGGGTTCAGGCCTAGAAGCAGATTTTCTGAGAGAGGGGATGGGGGAAAGGGGGAAGGGTGAGACGATGAAGTAGGGGAGATCAGAGGTAGGGAAGAAAGGTGTGAGGCGGGAAAGAAGGTGTCCTGGAAGGTCAGGGAGACTGGGACCACCTGCTTGGTTTTCTGGAAGCCTGGGGACGGTGTGCTGCTTGAGGCGGGGACAGGGCTGGGCGCGCAACTCCTCCTGGGAGGGTCAGTTGCCCCTAGCCTGTCTCCAGCCCTGCATCCTGGGACTCGGGCTCGGCGTGGGGGTGGGGGTCATGGTGCGGCTCTGACGGCCGAGATCTTTAACTTGGCGCTGTGTTCGCCTCCCCCCAGTCATGTCTGAGCCACAGAGATGGGCAAGATCGAGAACAACGAGAGGGTGATCCTCAATGTCGGGGGCACCCGGCACGAAACCTACCGCAGCACCCTCAAGACCCTGCCTGGGACGCGCCTGGCCCTTCTCGCCGCCTCCGATCCCCAGGGCGACTGCCTGACGGCGGCTGGCGACAAGCTGCAGCCGTCGCCCCCTTCGCTCTCGCCGCCGCCGCGACCGCCCCCACTGTCCCCCGGGCCGGGCGGCTGCTTTGAGGGCGGCGCGGGCAACTGCAGTCCCCGGGGCATCGGCGGCGACCACCCTGGGGGCGGCCGCGAGTTCTTCTTCGACCGGCACCCCGGCGTCTTCGCCTATGTGCTCAACTACTACCGCACCGGCAAGCTGCACTGCCCCGCCGACGTGTGCGGGCCGCTCTTCGAGGAGGAGCTGGCCTTCTGGGGCATCGACGAGACGGACGTGGAGCCCTGCTGCTGGATGACCTACCGGCAACACCGTGACGCCGAGGAGGCGCTCGACATCTTCGAGACCCCCGACCTCATCGGCGGCGACCCTGGCGACGACGAGGACCTGGCGGCCAAGAGGTTGGGCATCGAGGACGCGGCGGGCCTGGGGGGCCCCGACGGCAAGTCTGGCCGCTGGAGGAGGCTGCAGCCCCGCATGTGGGCCCTCTTCGAGGACCCCTACTCGTCCAGAGCCGCCAGGGTAAGGCCAGAACCGCCCCCTTCCCTGCTGCTCCAGCTCCTCCAACTCCTTCCCCAACTTTCTTTTCCACCAACGACCTCTGGGACGAGGGGAGGGGATGGGAGGGAGAAGAGAACAGGGCTCCCTAAGGGTGTGATCAGAAGCGCATCTGGTGTCAGGTAAACTCAGGGGCCCTAGCGGTCATCCTCCCCTTCCGTCCCCTTCATCCTCCACGTCTCCTCCTCAACTCAGAGATTTACTTTAGCAGATAAATGGGAGCTAAAGGGCCAATGTCGACCTCTCTGTGCAAGTCTGTCTGGAACCTTGTCCTGAAACTGGTATCGTGCTTCGTCTTGATTCTTTTTTTTCCTGACTCTTTCCTTCCAACTTTTCTTTTAGTGTGGATGTTACTTCAGGCCTTCTGGTCATCACGATTTGACATTTTCAGTGAGGCCTGACACTCTTTCACATCTGACTCAAAGCAGTGGCTCCAATTAGGGATCTAATCTGAAGACAGATGGGGAAATGGAATATAGTAGGTGGCTGGGTGAAGAAAGGGTATGCCAGGGTGGGGTAGGGCGATGGGGGGGATGGTTTTGTGAAGAGAATCTCCTGAATGCTATTTGGACCTGTCTCCTTCCAAAGGAGAAGAATGCCGAGTTGCTTGTCCCAGTGAGTTGACCAGAAAGCCCACCTGCTCATTGAATTTGTGGTCTGGTCCTTTTCCCCTTGGGCTTTATCTATGTTTCTTAGAGGTTGAATGTCATTTTGATGATGCTAGTTTAGTCTGATTGTCTAAATCTGGGTAATTTAGATTGTTGCAACCTTTATTTTACTCTTAGATTGTGACACCGTCCTCAATTTTTCTTTTCAGTTTCTAATTTGAACGACAGTTTAAATTTAGTCCTTGACACTCCCAATTAATTCTTCAGAATCCCATGAAGGGACTGTAAAAGTTACCAATAATAGTTTCTCCAGTGTAAAGGAAATAAAAGAAATATAAATAACCCAAAATTATACAGTATATGAATGATTTTTAATTATACATGAGAATGGAGTAGTGTATTTAGTTAAATCTCAGCAACTGCATGTGTCTAGTTTGCTTCTGACGCCCAGAAAAAATATCCCCTGGGCAGCCTCACTTTGGCTCCATCCTCATTATTGTCTTCTGTATGTCAGAAGTCTCTGCATCTGAGATATTGTGCAGCTGTCATTCTAATAACTTGTCAGAAGATGTGTTTCTGATACCACTTTAGAAGTTTAAGGATATGTTTTGTTTTCAGTTTGAAATAGAATGTGAAAGAGACCATTCCAAGCATTGCTCCCCAATGGATCTGGGATTTAAATGCCTACATAAATTTTAGTATGTCCACATTATTGTATTCAAATATAGAATCAATAACTTCAACTCTGCTATCTTCCTTTTAAGATCATTCTATAAATTCAACACCAGGTGAGGTGGCAATGCCCTGCCCAAGAGGAATTAAGGTCATCAGTGACAAAAACTCCTATTTCCTGCTACCTGTAGGGCAGTGGCTTTCAGAATTGAAGAGCCTCAGAACACCAGCCTTGGCCTATCTCCCCTCCCCCACCGGGGTCTTGTTAAACCACTGGATCCTGGGCCTCCCCCCAGGGTTTCTGTTTCCGCAGGTCTCAAGTGGAACCTGAGAATTGGCATTTCTGACAGGCTTCCAGGTGCTGCTGATGCTGCTGTTAGTCTGGGAGCCACATTTTGAGAAGTGGTTTATAGAGATTGTTGGGCTGTTTGTGTGGATTGTTGTTGTTTTAAAAATGTGTTCTAAATAAGAGCATCTAATACACAGAAAAAACAACAACAACAATGTGAATTGGTCACTTTGATGATGCTAGTTTAGTCCAGTTTAAGCCAAAACTAGTACGTATTAGAAACTAATACGTGTTAGAAACTAGTACATATTAACTTAAGTTAAATCACAGACATGACCATTACATCCATGTTTTTTTCAATTCCAACTGAGTGCCACAGTGCTCCATCCACTTGGTAGCTAAGAAGATAATATGAATTTGTTTTCAGACTCATCATGTGATTTTTTTTTTTCCAGATCGCATGCTATACAAGAGACAGAATGTTTTATTATCCTTCCTCATGATAATATATCTTTTATTGTAGACTAGATTGCATAGCAAAAACTTTAAGATGGTATTCAACTTTTATTATTGCTATGAAAATTGATTTTATTGATTATTGGTCAAAGGGTAGACTATTAACTTGAAAATAGTTTTTTAAAAAATCTCACCAGTAAAAAAATCTTACCAAGATTTCATTGTCACAATATAGGGGTTTGATATGCATCCATTTCAGGTGAGGAAAGAACACAGATATATTAGAGATTAACACAAGGTCAAAGAGCCATCAGAAGCAGAATCAGCTGAGAATTACTGACCTGGAAAATTTCCTTGAGGTCACTTCAGGAAGACCCTTTATTTTATAGATGAGGAAAATGAGGACTGCAGATGCTAAGTGACGGCCAAGGTCATACAGCAAGTTAATAGCAGATCCGAAATTATGCTGGAGGTCTCATGACATCTTCCCCAGGCCCTTTTACCACAACCACTGATTATAGCTGACTGGCTTATGAAATCTCTGCAGATCATGTTGCTCTTGAGATTTAATGCAACATAAGACACTTTCTAGAATTCTAACTTTGAAAGGTCATCTATGATTTTTTTTTTAAGATTTTATTTATTTATTTGATATACAGAGATCACAAGTAGGCAGAGAGGCAGGCAGAGAGAGAGGGAGGGGGAAGCAGGCTCCCTGCTGAGCAGAGAGCCCGATGAGGGGCTCGATCCCAGGACCCTGGGATCATGACCTGAGCTGAAGGCAGAGGCTTTAACCCACTGAGCCACCCAGGCGCCCTCATCTATGATTTTTAAAAAAACATGTATTCCAGGACTTTGGTAGAATTTTTACCCTGCACCACCCAACATTTGAGTGAAAATATGAAATTCAAATTGACTTCTTGAACCCCATTTGAACTTTGCATTTTTATTGACCAGTCAATATGTAGTGTTTTCTTTCTTTCAGAGTGGCTTACATTTGTGGGACTTGTCTTTAGGGAAATCTCTTTTCAAATTATTAGGGATTGTCTAAAAAAGAGTAATCAGAAGCAGTCATTCTACTTAAATGTGATTTCATATTTTTATATGAATGCTTTTAGTTCATGTGATGGCTTGACTTAATGTTATCTGACTAGTTTGATAAATAGAATTACACTGGGAAGTCATAGGATGAAATTTTATTTTGCATGGACATGATTCTAGAAGACATAAATCAATTATCAAGTTGTTTGTTTCAGCTGTGGTCTTACTGCCACAAGTCTCATTCTTTTTTTTTTTTTAACAAGACTCATTTTTAATAGAAATATTTAACTTTTATAAACCCTCTTTACTTTGTTTTACATTAGTTCATCTTTTATTGATATGCTTGAGATGAACATTTTTAACTGTCTGAATTTCTTTTTCAATTTGTTATACCTGTCACCATAATCTTTATCTTTACCCAATATTGAGGAGGTTGACTCAATTATAGAGTGGAAGTATTTTATTTCTAACTTTTATGATCTTAAATGCCATACTGAAACAACGTGATAGGAACTGAAGAGTTAATTTAATTTTATAACATTGTATTTTTGCTTTCTGTTGGGGTTGGCATTTCCCTCTTCTGTTGCTTTAAATTTATGGTGTAAATACATTTTAAAAGTTCAGGTTAACTTGGTAAGTAAGTTTATATTTATACTTAAATGAATTCTTATCCTTAAGAATAGTATCCCAAAATAGAAATTTATAAAAAATCAAATATAAGTTGTCATGGAAACCTGTTCTGGAAAAAATGAGATCAGGAAAGAAAAAGAGAGATTATGCTATTGATGCCATTGAGTGATATTTACAAATAGCAAAAATCAAGGATGCATAAATGTATTTGTGCAACTGTTATGCATTGTATTTTTCCAATTTATTATCTTAGTTTAATAGGGAAATGAAGCTTGTGTATGCTTTCTTCTGAAAACATTAGATCATAGGTAAGTAGACAGGTGCCAGGCAGAAATTCTTTCGACAGAAGTTCTAGATTATTTAGAAGTTAACAAACTAGGATAAGGGCAAAATACTAGAATCAAAATATTTTAAATAATTTTTTCCAGTATTAAAGAGCAGAGAGCTGTTACAAGTTTCTCCCTATCTCTCTTCTTTTCACTTATTTTTTGCGGGGAGTAGAGGTGATTGAATTAGGTTCTACTTTACAGGCTTTTCGTTGATGACTTGCGTATCTTCGGTTAGCTGATAGGACTTTTTTTTTAATTTAAAGGAACATTTTATTTTATTATTTATTTTTAAAAAAGATTTTATTTATTTATTTGAGAGAGAGGGAGAGAGTTAGTGAGAAGGTGAGAGAGAGAATTTGAGGTAGACTCCTTGCAGAGCACAGAGCCTTACACTGGGGCTCGATCCCAGGACTGCAAGGTCATGACCTGAGCTGAAACCAAGAGTCAGATCCTCAACCAACTGAGCCACTCAGGTGCCCCAAAACAATAAAAAGAATAACTGCTGTGGAACCACATTTAAGATGTTAGGTTTTTGGTCCTTGGGTCTAGCTCATTTTATATAGGTTCTCTGGATTTATCATTATGTACAGATCATCCTGAATCATACATGTGTTGTGATAGTGAATCTGTCAATTTTTAATATTGAAAATATTCACTTTATTAACATTTTAAATTGATTTATTTCCACAGCATTATTAAAATATACTCCTCAAAACTATTAAAATTCAAATTTCAATATAGTATTGGATTCAGAATTTCACATACATGATTTACTTTTTATGGACCATTTTTTTCCTCTTCCTCAAGCCACAAAACAAATTGTTAAGAAATGATATAAATAACTGTTTGCTAGGTCTCAGTGTAACACTTAATTTAAAAAAATTATAATAAAGTAAGGACAATAGAGTCATAGTTTAAGATTTAAAAAAAAGTAAATAT